TAAACCCTAACCTTAACCCTAAAATTCAGAAATGCATGGTAATGGACGATTTTAAAAAGCAACAAAAAACAATGAAATTTTCAAATGATAATTCGTTATTTTACTCACTCTTTACGAATCAAGATCTCTTAAATGGGGCGGATACACAATTTTTATGACATTTAAAAATTCCCTCATTTGATCTTTATTGCCACACGAGCGTCGCCACATATATTCATATAAATATGAGTCGAACTGCTCCTCCCCATGACAATTTTGGATATTTTGAACTTACCGCCGGACACCGGAGCACAATAAGACGACAGTGACGTAATATTTAATCACACCTTTCTAGATCCGCATGATTTTCAAGTACCATATACGAAAATTAATTTCTCTATTTTTCATCAATATTTCTAACATTCTGACAATTCCACACTCTCTGAATGAATTCCAAAAACATAAAATTTCAGTTTTAAAACCACAAAATTTAACTTTTCTTTGAATCTTCGTTAATTATTCACACGAAATCTTGTTCCAACCGGTTATTAAAATATTCCTTCGCCACCACCACTTCCGACACTTCATCCAATAAAATTAACAACAATATCAACAAAGGGAAATGACTCCTGTCTTTCCTTGCACAAATTTTAAATAAATATGCAAATGACGTCATGGGTACTAATATAAGAATTAGCCATATATTTATATAATTTAATGATAAGGAATACTAATAATGGCATCCTTCCATCTGCCCTCTTATATTTATATCTCATGTCATGTCTTCTTGAAAGATACGGTAGCGTAGCTGTTATAATTATAAGATGAGATAAGGCTTATAATTATAACTTATGACTTTCATCAAATTATAAATTGCTTACTTAGGACTTAGGAGGCAGATCCTGGAATGGCAGTCTTAGATGCACTTCTCACAATGGCATTCTAAGGTGCACTTCTCTTTTGGCTGGATACTCTTGATTTCTGGTTAACTTTGGGGTGAATTTATGTTTGGTGCGCCACTTTTTTCCATGACAGCAGTCAAATTGGCCCTTAATCAAATATATACTATGGGAAAGGTGCACAAGACTGTGTCCATCTTGAAATTATGTCAAGGTATCAAGGACAAATTAGGCATAGTGTCTATAAAAGCCAAGGCATCCTAAATTTTTAGAGATCTGATGTTTTGTTAACTGTATTTAGTTATGAACTAAAATTAGTCCCAAAGTCTTATTGTGTGTGACACTCCCATAAGCACAATTAATTTAGCATTGTGTCAACTAATTCACTTCAAAGTTATATTATAACCTCTGGAGTTTGTAAATATAGATGCAATACTTAATCTGTAACTGATTTTTTTTCCTATAATTATTTAACATACACCCCCCCCCCCCTTTTTCAAATGAGACTTTATATCATCAATTCTATTATTCTGAATTATAGTTTGACAATAATTTTATTTGAGATTCACTGGGATATGATCATTAGGAATAGTTCACTTCACATTAATTAGATGATTAAAAAAAACTTTAAAATGATATTATTCGTAGTTCCTCCCACTCTGGCTAATACCTCAGGCAACTATTGGTTTCCACCTTTCACTGTCAGGTGCTTCTATTTCAGCATAAATTTCTACCTCTATTCTGAAAACTTCCTTATTCCCTCTTTCCATTTGGAATCCATTTGGTGACAATGACGTTTTAGATAAACACTGGTGTGTTGGGTATAGGATTTGCTCTGCAAAATACATTCTGTGAAGAGCAACTATTGTTTCCAGTAGCTCATCCTCATTACCTTTCTTTGGTGCAACATTGGACACTCTTTACACATCTGAATGATGTTATTAAGAGAACTTTAGGTCATTTTTTTCCTCCACCTTTGCATCTAATCACCGAAACAAGAAGTTAAGTTTTGTCAATGCTTATTATCTGACTTACTTTAGTAGTGGTCTAGAATGATGACCATTTGGGGGGGGGGGCAGAATCAGGGTCTGCTAAGTGAGATTGCTCTTTCTATTGCTACCATTGTGACTGTCCTTTTCAAAATGAAATCCATTAAAAGCCTGAAAAAAATCCAAAAATATCCCAAGTGTGTGTGTGTGTGTGTGGGGGGGGGGGG